GAGAGAGACAACCGTAGATAAAGTGCCTTGCCCAAGGACACAAGCGACTTGCACAGCGAGAGTTTTGATCCCCCGACCTCGAGGTTGGGAGTCCAAACCACAACCGATGCGCCAACCACTTCTACAAAGTACCTACCTTTACAAAGTATTATAGATAGAATGTTTCATTTAGACCCATTGTGTTTTTTTAAAGAGATATTTAGGTCTGGGTCCTCAAAAACTGAAAAGACCCTCAAATTTACACCCTTCAGTGGATCGTCACTAACACATAAAAATTTCTTCCTTGTAACTTGAATAAACTTTCCCATAAGTTTTATTTACATCAACTGACCGGTTTTTCAAATATCCGGTGTAGACATTTTTTTTTTTTACCTTAAATCACTTTAATTGGTTTTCACACACACACACACACACACACACACACACACACACACACACACACCCACACACACCCACACACACACACACACACCCACACACACACACACACTCCACCATAGATTGACACTAAATATTAGGAGGCACATCCTAGATATATGGCCTATGCTTTAGCAAAGCACGGAAAAAGTCTAAGCATGGGAAATGACCAAAGTGACGGCCAGGAAAAAAAAAAAACAGTGCAAAAAGATAGGAAAAATATATGCAAGAAAATAGGAAAAAAATCAGAACAAAAAGAATAGCCTTTCCCAGTACTGTGACCATTATAAGTATTTTAATAATAATAATAATAATAATAATAATAATAATAATAATAATAATAATAATAATAATAATAATAATAATAATAATAATAATAATAATAATAATTAATATTGATAATATTCATCATATTGATTTGATAATAATAATAAAAGTAATCATATTTTGAGTATTTTTGTAGCATATCGCTTAGGTTTACCTGAACCATTATTATAAAAACTGTATTAATCTAAAGTTACATGACTGTGATTTGAAGGTAGTATACTACCTTAGCCTCTCATAGCTCAGTTGGTAGAGCATCCGAAAAGTAATCATGAGGTAATTTCGATGGGGACTATTCACTTTTGTCAAGAAATATTATCAGTTTGAAATATCACTGAATGCGGTGTTTATACCAAAGTAAATTAATTGTGATTTATTTATAATCCATTGCGTATTACGAAATACCTTGACTAAAAATAATGGGAAATGAATTGAATTGAGGGTCATGAGGTAAAATCAAGAAATAATAATAATATGAATATGATACGAATATTTCGAGAGCACCTGCCCTCATCTTCAGGGTATAGCAATCGGCCGTAACATTAACAATATATAATATTGTGTATATACTGTATAATACTATATAAATTTCGGATACCTCAGGGGAGTCAGATTGTAAATTTAGAATATCATTCAATATGTCAGCAGTAGATTCCAAGGCTTCCACAGTAATTTCTTCTGTTTTACTTGTAATCTCTTCTACTTCACTGCTCACCATTTCAACATTATCCGCGGTGACATTCATCTAAGGAAAGAATAACGTAGGTAATGAATGTATACATTGGCAGGTAAAATATTGGAAAAGAAAAAGAAAATTTAAATACATTATCAACTTCCAATGGAAAAGAAACCAAATATAGTGGCGGATCCATCGAAAAAGCTTGGTAGGGGTCATGCGACGTTCGAATTTACCATGAGACGTAGGTGATGGGTACTGTTTGAACCAGGGAACAGTGAATTCCACTGTTTCCTGGTTTGAACATATACACTGATACATGGAATTAATTTAAATCCCAAATTATCTTGTTCTGGAGTACCGTGCATCCCTCTTTCTGCTGTCTTTTATGTTCTTTTTCTTTTCTCTACGCTAGCACCCGTTTCTCTATTGTATCAACATTTACAAAATGAAAGGGCTTATACATAACGAATATAAAACAAATTGTATGTTAATATTCAAAAAAAATATTTCTCTAATTTTCATATTTCTCTAATTTTCATTTTTAAGCAAGTAACTTGAAAATGAATTTTATTTTTTGATCACTTTCTGGTTAATGTTTTTTTCCCTTTTTTCTAATTTGATGTTTAACAATTGCCTAACACAGACAGTATACTTATAGACTTTTTTGAATAAATATTAATTTCAAAATATTTTTATATATTATCTCAATCATTACTTTTTTACTGATTTTTGTTCAGTCATAATGTTTTTCATATACATCTACTAATATATTTAAGATGTAATAGTTTTAGTAATTTGCTACTATTTTACATTATTTTATACATGAAAATACTGTGTCTGGAAACAGAATATACCTATTAGTATAACCTCAAACTAAATATACTTCTCAAAAAAAAAATCCACTATCACCTCAGTTATACGTTTCAACAACTTTTCTGCAGTAGCGTTAGATCCACAGTTCGTCTCAACAGGATCATTCCATGTAGCTGCACTAAACCCATTGCCGTTACAAGTTCGGTTAGCGCCAGGCAGAAGATCTAAGTAACGTAGACATTTTCTTTTATTTTTATTTGAGCAGGTTAGCCTGTTTTGTGTTTAAGACTCGAAAGAGTTTGTCTGCCAGGGTGTGAAAAATATATTTCTTTTAATTTTGAACAAATTTATAACGTCACGAATGGCAGTCTGGCAACATGCAAACTATCTAATTTCCAAATGGTCACAACATCCAGATTCAGCTACTGGATTGGTAGTATTATTTCTATTAATATTTTTATATTGAAAAATAAGCAAATTATTTAGGTCTTACAATTAACGGTGAAATAAGGACATGTCTCTTTTGAATCCACAGTATCTCCAACGCCTGCACTTGGAAACTGGTACTTTCCGTAACGTTCTTTATAACATGTTTCTGTAAAATAAACATCAATTTACAAAAACAGAGAAACACTAGGGAAACGCACTAAGGAGAGTTGGGATGCGATCTCACGCAGTGCATTCGCTTGATTCTTGAGGTAATTGACACTTCTTCTATAAATCTCTTTCTACTCAGGATTAGTAGAATGTAGTAGGATGTGGTTATTAGTTGAATACTTTAACCCGCTCTAAATTCATTACTACAAAAGAATACTCCATACAACAAACACAAACGTTATTATAACCTTCGCGAACGTTGTTAATATTTTTGCACAACGTTGCAGCATTGTTGGTGATTTTATTAAAGTAAATTACATTACAAACACGTATTTATTGTTCTTACATATTATAAAGCTTTAAACACGTAACTTTAACGTATTTATAACGTAAACTTATTTTCACAAAAGGAATATTGCATATGATTTGTATAAATGACCAAGTACGGTAACAACTGAAAGCCCAACACCTTATTGATAATATTAATAAAGATAATAATTATGATAATAAGAATATCATCATCACCGTCATCATTATAATCGGCATCTCATAATAATCATTATCATCATTGCTATTATAATTATAACATCATATATTATTATTACCATATCATTATATTACCATTACTAATATTATCATTACTTCCAACACCATCCTTCTCATCATCATTACTTTCATCATATCATCGTCCTCATCACCATTACCATCATCAGCATCAATTATCATCATCATAACTATAATCAAAATTTGAAGAAAATGTGAATAATGTTAATGTGGGGTACCTGTGCTGCTTATCACTATGCTGCTTGGAATTAATATTCCATTAGAATCATTTGCGATTCTGATTACCTCCTCATTTAAAGTCGCTAACAAATCAACGTAAGAATCGTTCGTGTTCAACACGTAAAAATTGGCACCAACAACAACACTTCCAACAGAGAAATCACGTATTTGTATTGCGACATCACCATTTAAGGAGAGATCCTTGGTTAACTGAAAAAAAAATAAATAGATAATTGGTTTGCAACAAAAACTAAATAAGATGTTACAATATTTCGAACGCCATGCGTTCCTCATCTGTGTATGGACAGCTACTACTTGGTATGGTGGGGATCATGTGAGAAAGAGTAATGGAGGAGGCAAGAAGTTGGAATATCTATAGTTATCTGTAAAAGAATAAGTTGTACAACTCAACATTTTCATATGATTACTAAATTGAGATCTATATCTAACAGAAAGATAATATCGTATATATATATTTTAATATTTAATTTGATATACTTGAGAGGCTTCCAGAATCTATCAAAGAGAGTCATCATAAACTTCGTTACATTCAAATAAAAGTTTATTTTTGCTAATCTAAATACTATATTAATCAAATCATTATTATGTTCAGTTGTTCTCTTAACAATTGCAACGTTCAAAATGTCGACAAGGGACGTATCCGGGAAGGGGAGGGGGCGTGAGAGCCCTGGCAACGACCCCCTTTTAAAACAGTGTTAGAATTTTAAAGTTTGTTCTTGTTAGCCAATACAAATTCTTTCCCAACCATCGCTGAGGTCGTTGTGAAATCACGGCTTTGAAATATGTAAAGTATATACATCAAGACAATGTTTTTAAGCTTTATTTTCTATGGTACATCACACTTATTAACAAGATCCCTATAGTTGCCGAAAATCTGAGAAATTTGTTGACGTTTCATTTTGACTATTTATAGGGCCTAATGGTGATGTGATGATGATGAATTTTACTAAAAGCGCCATTTCTGGCCATCTAGACGTACTATTTCCTGAAATTGTCACACCTCAGCCCAAACCACGGAGGCTCTGAGGTGGGTGTGGACTCACGAAATGTTCCCTACCTTCCCCCCGTTTTCAAAGAGTCCTGGGCCCTTCCCTGGGTATGACAATAAACTCCATCAAGTAGGCATCTGACTCAGAGTATGTCTAGGGGAGGGTGCATACATTTGTTTTCAGGATGTGATCTGGTTTTTCATGCCAAATTTTTGTGGTTATGACTATTTTGGATAAAATAATGCTTTGACCAGTGGCGGATTTAGGCCACCCCCTCCCCCATCCTAAATTTTGTTAATGGAAAACAAAGAAAATTATATTCAAATTTAAGAGAGTGTAATTTTCAAATCAGAAATTTTCCAACCTCAGCACCAACCATGGTGGGGGTTGAGGTGGATGCCCTCACTCTGTGAAAATCCCTCTCTGGGTCACCTCTCTTACGAATTCCTGGATCCGCCACTGTTGAGTTATTATTATAATTACTGTTAGGTCTATAAATATGATGCGCCTATTGCAATTTTCAATTATTCCTCTTAAAACAGTCCTAAAACCATTCAGAGTGCGGTACTTCTCAGGGGCTTTCCCCTTGGACACCGCCAGGGTATAGGCGTCCCCCCAGCCGTACCTCGCATAACAGCCCTCCCACCATTCAAAATCTCGGCTACGTCCCTGATGTCGACTGCATTCACATCATGTTATGCTGTAATGTACATAATAATTAACTGTACTTACAAAGTCAGAAATGTTTGCAGATAACTCTTTGAAAGTTGTAGATGAGGGATCATTAAGATTAACATCAAACTCATAGTTGAATGTCATAGACGCAGGAAATATTAAGACGCCTGGTTAAGTTAGGATTTAAAAAAATACTCTATTGGTACACAAATAGCTTGGAAAAATTACATGTACATTTGCAATATTTTATTTATTTTTCTATACAAAAATAATTAGAAAAACCGAAAGGTCCACTGATAATCTCAGATTAGAAAGTATAATACATACTCCAAGTATTGAAATACACGCCATCGTGTTAGGATTAAATATTTCGACATTAATTTTGTCATCATCAGGAATGGTGACATAATTAATGTCGAAATACTGAATCCCAGCACGATGGCGTGTATTTCAATACTTGGAGTATGTAGTATACTTTCTAATAATTAGAAAAACATAGAACTTTAAAGGCAATTTTTTAAAAAGAGGAGTTAACTATTTCTTTTCTTAATTGAAAATAGCATCAACCTTTATATACAGCTACTTAACAAAATTTGAAAAAAATCTGCACATTATTTTTTTTTATTACGTCATTTTACACTTTATTCCAGTTAACGAAAGACCATTGATCTTGCAAAATATCAATGAATAGATATATTGGTTTAATCGTATTCATTCCAAGTATAATATAGTAGACGTGCATTGTGTGTGGTATGCAGAAATACCTTCATCCCCATGATGTTTTAAATTTATATTGTTTAAGTGTACCTTTAATCAAGATACTAGAAATACAAGATAGAGTTCTCCACCAAAAAAAAGTGTTCCACCGTGATCCACCGAAATGCATGGTGGGAATACGAAAAATGGGACGCCCCCTACAGCTAGATCTAAAAAAAACGTGTGCCAAACTTTCGTTACCAAGTCGTCGCGTATTTTATTATCAATTCTCAACAAAGATACTAGATATAAAAACAAACTGGAATAGACACCCAGACAGTGACACCGGTGAATACATAACCTCCTTGGTGGCGGTAGAAATCGTTGCTATTATCCAAATAATACACAAAACAATTAAAGCATAATCATGAATCAGTAAAGAATAAAACAACAATACAGCGCAGAATCGCATGGCCGGACGCACTCTTAGTGAAAAAGTTTTCCTCCATTAGTGGAAAAGGAAGGGCGCCTTTTGCTTCTGGATATACTTAGCAACAGAAGGGCGCCCTGTACGTTGGGCACGAAGTATAGGAAACTTGCATAGTAAAAAAGAAGGGCGCCGCCTACGTTGGGCACGACTTCTGCCTCATTTTTACAATGCGAGAACTCTATCTTATATTTCTAGTATCTTTGCTTTAATTTACTAAAAAGTCAAATACTCCTCCCTGGTAATTTTATGTTAGTTCTGCTCTGTGTAACGTATTAATTAAATTACACAACAGGGCGCCATACCGGCATATATTTGTAAAGTTCACCAGTTTTGTCTTTATATAGTCATGACACAGTTAACAGTGAGAATACGACTGAACGGAGAATTGATACATCAGCTAAAATAATATACAAGAAAAAGCTTACCATTAACAATTAATGAAACGCTCTCTGAACTTTTCTCTGTATTATTATAAGGTCCTGCTCCAAACCCTCCACACGTGTAATAACCCTGATTATCAATTGTCATAGTAACAGATAATACATACAGATTCAATGTAGATATTAGGGGAACGTCATCTTTATACCACTGCCAATCGTTTGAATAGAACACGTTACAGGTAAGATTGATTTGAGCGTTAAGATCAGCCTTATTTGAAGCTAGAGACACTGAAAATGACGGGGAATCTGGGGAAGACACCAAAAATAAATAAATAAATAAATAAAATAAAGCATTATTTAACGTTAACATTTGGATGTGCTTTTCAGGAGTTTCTATGAATATGTTTGTAATGTGATTAATTTGTACGATCAATATACTCATTAAATATTAAGATTATGGGTAGCCATTTTGATCGTTATGTAGGGAGTAATAGGTAACACTACGCATTTTAAGAAAATTGATCGTAGTCTATTAAAGGTCCAAAATCACTATGTTTAAAGTGTGCTTCCAGAGTAAAGTAAGTTAACTACTGGTTCGGATCTGATGTGAATGCGGCTAAAGCAACGTTACTCACCTGGTTCATTTTCACAGTATTCTCCACCATAAAATGATGGACAGATACATTCAGACAGCCCGTTATTAGCATGACAAATACCACCATTCTGACATTCTTTATCAAAACAGGCATCTATTCAAAAGACAAATCCGAGATTGGAAAATAATTAACATACATTAACATCATCATCATTATTATTATTATGATTATCATTACTATTGTTATTGTATACATAGGCCTAATTATATCATTATTGCTATTAATGTTAATAATACTGTTATTAGTATAAATATTATCATTACTCAGTTCCACTTGATTGGACAAACGTATGCCTAGGAACACGTCCGTAATGATTATAACATTAGCGCATTTTTGTTGGGTTTGACATTCTCCATGGTTTGTGTACAACTATACATGTATACTATAAAAATCGAAATCGTTAACATGTTCAGTGTAGTACTTAATGTTTTTGTTTACGCCTACCGATGACAGTGACTTGAAAGGAACAAGTATCAACATTTCCATACATATCCGTTGCAGTGTAAGTAACAGTACGTTCACCGATTTCCCAGGCATCATCAGGTGAAGCTGATGCAGTTAAAGTAACTGCCAACCCAGAGTTATCCTGTGGTTCTGGCTCATTCCAGCTAACACTTTTATCAGTATCACTAACACTAACAACGTTGTCAGGACAAATAAGGTTTGGTTTTTCTGTATCTGAAATGACACATATTATAAAGAAAAAATTACTTTACATTCTCAACTTATAAACATGTTTTAATGTAGTTTTGTATTATATTTTAATTTTTGATAAATACTAATATATATAATATATTGTACATAAAATTAATAATATATATATATATATATACTATATATAAATCATCAAAGAAAGTCAAACACACTGTAATTACATTTCGTTGATGATTTATATATAATTTAACAGTGTCAAGGCTACCTTGATTTATAATATATATATATATATATATATATATATATATATATATATATATAATGAAGAGATAAACTCTAAATCGTCTTTCAATAATTCCTTATACATTATTATAAAGAAGAGGAATCTGCGAGAGCTTTTGCGCTTCTAGGGTCAGTTTCAACAGACGGCATATTTGCTGGACATGTAGCAATTGGATCTTCAATGTCTAGAGCAGGTAAGGCAAAAGAAGAAATACTTTTTAGAGTACAGTACTCCAGTTAAAAACATAAACACTATCATTTTTACCTCAAACAAAGATATATGAAAAGATAGGGATCCGAAAAGAACTGATAATGAAAACCCATAGAAAAGAAAATTAAAAAAATAAGAGATAAGAAAATAAAAAAAAGAAATAGAAAAGAACAGAAAGCGAAAAAAAGGGAAAAAAACAGAATGATATTAATAATAAATAATAATAATAAAGGACAATGAAAAGAAAGGAAGATGTAAAGAAAAAAGAGAGAATTCAAGAAAGAAAATGAAAAGAAACAAAATAAATTAAAAAGACTGTAAAATGAAAGAAAAATTAAAATTAAGGAAAATTAAATGAAAAAAAAAATAATAGAAATGAAAAGAGAAAAATGAAGAAAACGAAAAAAAGGGAAAGGTAAAAAAGGAAGATAAAAGAAACAAAATGGAAATGCAAAGAAAGGAAATAAAGGAAAGAATGGTGAGAAAATTCGAAATACTGTTTAGAGAAAATTAAATTATAATCACAATAAAAAAAAATCATTAATTTCTCTATAGACTTGGTGAACCACAAAATGGACTGTGGTATAAAAGAAATCAACAAGAAAGGAAGGCAATGGAAATGGAAAGAAAGGAGTTATCCGGCAACCACAAAACATTCTTATAACATTCGCGAACGTTATGGTTAGGTATGTCACAAAATAACGTTCACACAACGTTGTAAGAACGTTCAAACGCTGTGATGTTGAGAAATTTGAATATAAATACGTACATATGGTTCTACAAAATGAGTTCGTTTTTATCCCCAAACTTAACGTTATTATAACGTTCTTATAACGCAATATTGTTAGATGGGAAGGGCAACAAAAGAAAGAAAATTAGACTAATATATGATGAAGGTAAACTATAATCATATTAATCAAATCTTTCTATAAACCGGGTAAATCATAAAAATACGGTATTTAGTTCAGTACTTTAAAATATATACAATTTGTTTCTTGGAGTTTACAGCATAGACAAAAAGGTACTTGAATTAATTCAAGAAAACTATATTAAAAAAAGCAGGACAACACATAATTGTGAACAGTATATACATAGCAATGTACAGTATGAACAATATTTCATTTGGACCAGAACTGATTTTAGCATAGTTTAATGATTACGCATGTTAATTCGTAGGTCAACTCTGTTTTGTGATTATTTGCTTAAGAGTGAATAATAATGCCCATGATAAGAAGGAATATTCGCGGCGGTTTCGATTCACAGATTTGCTGTAATAATAACGAAAACAACCACAACAGAGCAGCAGCACCAACACAAACACTATTTTAGATATACTTTACCTAAGACTTGGATAGCTAATTCACAGCTATCAGAGTTTCCGTAAACATCCGTTGCTGTGAAGACAATCTGAATAAAAGAAGTGGTGAGTGGTATCATATCCCCTGAACGGTATGGTGTAACTACGACAGTCACGTTGGCATTACTATTATCACTTGTAATAGGTGGATCCCAGGTGACAGTTGCATATGGACTACTTTCATCTGTCTTCACATATGTTACATTTAATAACTCACTGATGTAGTTGTTTGAAGTGACGTTTGTAGGACAAATGGCAACTGGTGGCTCATTATCTATAAAAAATAAT